GACGACATATACGATTGAATTAGATCAGAAAAGTCGAGATACGATAGGATGAGCTAAAATCAGATAAAACTTAGGTAAATTCTTTGTTCAGATCTCTTGTGTCGTTCCTGCAGACGGAGGATTTTTACAGTTTGATGGTAGAATAGAGACTGGAGAGCAGGTTGAAGGCAGCTGGACCGATCCTCTCAGCCAGCAGCGTATTTACATGGACTTTAGCAACAATAAGCTGCTTTCTCAAATGTCGTGCAAACAAGAAACCCGATCTCCCCTAATCAGAGGAGGGATTAAAGGAAGGTTTCTTCTGGACAGTCTGGATTTCCCTGCGATGTGTGCAGATAGCAACACTTTCTAATCTGCCTTTTACTCAGACACGTGTGCAAAACAAACCTTTAAAAAAAATCACCAAAATTAGACAATTCATCAGAGCCAGGAACTGCAAAAACCCAAAAAATCAACAGACTTTGAACTTTCTAACAATCTTTCAACTAGTCATGTGTGATATAGAGTTTTAGCAGGAAAATTCACCACATGTATCCTTGAAATTTGGATATTTAATCAAAACCGATTTATTCCACATTTTAAAATTCTGCAAAAATAAGTAATTTGCCCAAATTAGATTCTGTAAAATAATATATATATATACAAAAATCTGTGCCCTTTTGTGCAACAGAGAAGCCAAAAGTAACTCACCCGTGACCGACAATTACATGACAAAAATTGAAAGATTATTCGGCTGAAGTGCAGGCTGTGTTTATATAAAGATAAATAATCAAAAACATTTAACTTTTGTTTTTCCTTTTGTAATGATTTACAGCATTCTAACCGTGTCGTCCTGCACAGAATGAGTTTTCTCTACTTCTGGCAATAGTTGTGTTGTTTCCATGGAGGTGCTTGGCTTTATATTGCAGTGACAAATGAGCCCACAGTGACTGAAAATGTGACAGGAGCAAAGAAACAGCTGCATTTAGGAGTCCAAAAACCCTCATCTGACATGTTTTTGGGCGTTCATTGTGTGAAAAAAGCTCCTGAACAAACCAGTCAGCACAAACACAACGTGCAGTTAAAGTAATTCCAAAAACGAAGCCGACATCTGACAGTTTTGGTGTTAAAACTTTACGCACCGCTGCTCTAAATTACATCCCACAAAACGCAGGCGTCCTCCAGCGAGCTCTGAACCACACTATCGGTCCCTCAGAAAACCAGTGGAGAGGAAATAAAAAGGAAACTGAAAAGTCGACATCATAAGAGACTCTCGTGAGTCTTCCTTTGGAGGATCCTTCGGAGCTCCGACTCCTCAAGTTTAGTCACATTTACAGCTTCACAGATCAAGTCTCCTCTAAAACAAACAAATCATTTAAATGCACTTCAAGTAACCGACATGAATTTTGGAGCAGATTGTGGTTGTTTCTTTTCTTTCGCTTTCCAAACACTGCTTTTAGATTTTCTCCACTAATAGCTGAAATATAATTCTTTACGGATGCATTCAGCACAGTGAGACATCTCTCTAGAGCTGATACGTAGGAAACATTGGGTTTGTAGATATTTAAATATCGTTAGCATATATAGTCAGTATTTTTAACACCTGTGGACGTTTGGAAACAGCTTCATTTCATTTAGTTTTTGCAAAATAATTAAAGTAACTTTTAATTCTTCTTTTTTATGATTTACGTCAGTCTAAGACATTTCTGAGTTCTCTCTCTTTCTAGTCATGGTTGTTCTGTTTCCTTCGAGGTGCAGGACTTTGTATTGCAGTGAAAGATTAGCTCACAGTGAGTAGAAACAAAAGAAAAGTCCAGGATTTTGATCACTAACTGAGAGTACGTCTCTCTGCTTTCTTGCTCTGATTACAGTTTTGTGCAAACTGTGGAATAAGTGACACAAATGTGGATTTGTGCTTGTTTCTTGATGCCACTCAGGCTCCGTTTCTCCTCAGCGACGTGTCGAATGACAGATTTTTCCTCCTGGAATAACATTTGACGGCTGGAGTTTGTTTTCATCTGCATATATATATACATACACATATATATACATATAAAATACTCCCCCCGTGCTCGGGGAAATAACTTTTGCACCCATCTCATCTGCTCGGGGAAATAACTGGGATGCCGTCGGTGCAGCCAGGAATATTCAACAAGTTATTACCTTCACGTCAGCAGCGACTCCATTTTCATTTTATTAAATATCCCTTCATGCCGTGGCAGGCCTGTAATAATAAACAGGAGGTATTTTAGCCATTGTATGATTCTATTCCTGGCCCCACCTAGTATGAATATAGCAATTTGCATGATAACATGTTGGATTTTTTCCGCTATGACAAATGAAATGTTAGAGAATTAAATGTCAGAAATGAAAATTTGATGGAAATCAGTGTAAAAAAAAAAAAGAAAGAAGTGCATTTAGCTGCAATCACATCCTTTATGAGTCTCTTTAAGCATCCAGCTGCAGAAATAGAGCTCTGATATCTTTTATCAGACTTCTCCCGCTGAGCGATGTTTGATTGTCCAACCAACTGTGTTTCCTGCTGAGTTTTAATCGCAGAGGAAAGAGAAGCCGGAGCCTCGTTAGAAAGGTTATTTGCTCATTAAAATAATAAAAAAGGGGGCGAAGGAACGCTGTGTTTGCTCTCGAGTGGGGCTCGTGACACCGCCTGATGCCCAAACTAAAGGACCCAAACTTGACGGTTTAACTTGGTCTCTGCAGGCACCAGAATCAGCAGCTTCACTCAGGCCGACCTGGCGTCTCGCAGCGTCCAGTACGTCCACACCAGCGAGGAGGAGAAACACGCCGACCAGTTCTCCTTCACCGTGTCAGACGGCAACAACGAGGTGAGTCTAAAGTAATATCTCATCCACCAGGACAAATCGTTCTTCCCATTGTTAGATCTTTTGTTAGATACCTTAACGAACCCCATCGTGTCAGGGGGAGCACTAACGACACCCATAACGAGGGGGAGGAGCAACAAACCTCCAGTTGAAACCGACACTCAGGTGTTAATGATTCCTTAAGGATGTAAGTATCTGGAACTCCCAGCTAGTCAGTCAGGACTGATGAAGCCTCTTGGATGAAGGTGGAACGTTTTCAAGAAACTCAAAAAAGTCCAGCTGCTACGAATAAACTACAAGAATTCCCGTTGTTAGGTTCCCTCTGCAATGTAGTTGTAAATGGGGAAACTGCATAATCAAAATGAGATTAATGGGGTAAAAATGGGTCTTTATTTTTTTGAAGGTTTGACCCAAAGCACAACGAATGTGGGAGTCGTTAGTTTTTGTAAGGGGTGGTTTAAAAAAGAAAGAAGGAAGACTAACTTGGTTCTCACATTCGGACACTCGTGTTTAAATATCATGTATAGACACATGAAGTTTCGAGTTTAACAGCTTTAATGTGCCGCTGTCGGTAAAATAAATACGTTAACACAACATTCCTGTCTTTGCAGCAGCAGCACAAACAGAATCAGAAAAAGCTTTATTGCCAAGTGGGCTTGCACACAAAAGCAATTTTTCTCGGTTACATGAAACTCACGCGAAGGGTTACAAGACAGCAACAGAGTTAGTCAGTAATAAATAGAAAAACTTCATCCAAAGTCCTAAGAAGTACAATAACAATAGCTTTAGCCGTAAAAAAAAAAAAAACAGAATTTACTACAAAAAAACACACACACACACACAAAAAAAAACCCAAACAGTGGCATTATTTTTACATGAAAGATCAAATAAATCCCAGTACTGAAAGAACTGCACATAGACTAAACTATGAGTCCATTGTTTGAAGAGTCTATTTGTGGCTACGATCTCCTCTCCTCAAACTGACATTACATCTTTCTCTACACAGCGATTCAAACATCTACATGCTTCTAAACTTTCTGTAGTGCAGATTCGTATCCAGCAGGGTGATGCAAAGCTTTTTTTCTTCTCGAAAGGCTGCACTTAACAAAGAAAGTTAAACCACCTTCAAGATTCCTGTTATCTCTGACTGGGGTTTTAGTTTTTGTCAAGCCAACTCACACAAAGAAAGCCTGGATATGTCAAACTGGCTTCATAGTAAACCCCGCTGGTTTTTGTTGAGGACAACAAACGAGCAAGTTTTCATATCAATCCATAACTCCGTCTATACGCAGACGACACTCTTCTATACTGCCTTTCTGATACTGCACTGTCGGCCATTCAATCTCTGGAACGAGCAGAACATTGAGAGAGTCTATAAATATCAAGGCGTCTGTCTGGACTGAAAACTCACATTTAAGTTTCATATCGATAAATTCATCTGCAAAAAATCTAATATTTTTACAGAAGCGGAGCCGCATTTTTCTGTATTTGTCAGAAATAATCGAAGCAGCCTTCTTGTTCCGACAGAGATGTCATCTACAGAAACGCCTTCATTTCCACTCTGAAATCTTTGGATTCAGTTTAAAAATGTCACAACACATAACTTCCTGGTTGAATCCATCCCAAAATAACTGTTTTTAACACTTGAAGTCTTGCAGGAAACGGTAAATCTGGGTGCAGCCGTGTCTGTTGACCAGTTTACATCCATGATCAGCGACTACGCTGCCTTTCAGTGTGTTTGTTTTGAGCTTTGCTCCGTCCTTCGTGGTCTCGTTGATTGTTTGTCTCGTTGACTGGTCTCTCGACATCGTTGCAAACAAGGACTCGCTCTCAACGATCCCTCGAGGTTTAAATAAAGCTTGAATGAATGAGTTCGGGGACGCCGGGTGGAGATTTCCGACCTGGATGAGCAGATCGAGTGTCGGCCGCAGAGTAACCAGACGCTGCCCCGGTTTATTCCAATTTAGGAGTAATTACGGAGTCGAGTGTGGACATGAATTATGTATCTGAGCAGTTTAATCTAGCTGCAAAGGACAAAAACAAGCCACAACAATAGGAAAACAATGTGTGTGCTGTTTCTGTGTTTGGTTTTTTATTTGCAAGAAACTCGAACTCTAACTAATGTTACAATGACAGTAAAATTCTGGCACCTCATTTTAATTTAACAATAAACTACTTTATACTGTAACTAGACTTCTTAAATCATGTCAAATTCAACATTAAAGTGCCGACAAGGATACGACAAGCTGTGCTTTATGCATTGGAAGCATTAATTCAAAGCGGCGATTGTCATCTAATCAATATATCTTAGAAAACATTATAACTGTAAATAACATCCACATCAAAAAACTCTCTTTTGATAAAAAGGCAATTCATTCTTTCATGATTTAAATGTTAAATTACATTATTTTTAGTGTTTTGAAATCAGAAAAGAAATTTGTAATTGTACAGATTTTTGCTGTTATTTGAAAGGAAAGTTCTGCAATTTAGAAGAGAGTAATAGTGAATATTATAAAGATTATTATTGTTAAATTGCAAAGAATTTATAGTGAATTTTGAGGAAAAAAACAATCATTTACATGTTGACCGTAAACATAAAAGGCCCAAACTGTACATAAAGTCCACATCACACTGTTTCACTGTATTTTAATTAGAAAAAAATATTGACATGTCAGAAAACTAAATATTAGGCATCGAAAAACAGTTTTTTAGCTTTTTTCTATTTTATTAAAAATTATAGATAATGTGAAATCACAGACAATGTGTTAATTTACGTATAAATTGTATGTTTTTGTTTTTGAAAGCATAAACAGGATTTTCATAGATGGTAGTCTGTTGTTTTGTTTTGGTTTTTTTTACACTATTTTATTGTGTTTTAATTGTTATTTGAAAGAAAAACAAAGTTGTATATTAAGGACTGAAAATCAACTCTTATTTTACACATTTTCTTTCATTGTTTTGTTAAATTACAGATCATATCTGGTGAAATCACAGAAAAAAAAATCCATAATATCCACATCAAAAATCTTCTAAATTCTAATTAAACAGCAAAAAAAATAAAAGAGAATGTTTCACCTTAAAATGTCACTTTATTTTTATTTATTTATTTATTTTGCTGCATAGAAATAAGAAATTTTCAAAAAACGATTATTTTACCGTTATTAGCTGATATTTTTGACGTTTTTGCAGCTTTTGAACGTTACAACATTCCACAGCTTTTCTGGCTCCTTTGCTTCCAATATTTTACGTTTTTTTTCCTCCTTTCTAACTGTGTAGGATGCCAGAAGTTTCCAGTTACATAATCAGACATTAGGGACGAGGCGGCGGCGGCGTGAACGAGATTCAAGCTTGAGCGCTTCTCGACAATAACGAAGCCGCTCGGCTCCAGTAATGAAGTCAGTCCTCTGCTTCCTGATTAAACGGGTCATTAAAAGTTTTCCAACCTACAGCCCAGTTATTCCTCTCTGGCGTATTTGTGGAATCCAAATATAAAACCAAATGTAAATGAACACATTTCAGAGATCTGCTAATCCGGACTAACGAGGACCAGGAGGACCTGAGTAAACACGTGAGGAAGGTCGCTCGGCCTTCACGGCCGGCTGCCGTTTGTTAACTCGCTCTGCTTGGCTTTTAAAAGTGCTGCATATTTATGATCAGGTGTTTTGCATGAAGGTTAAAGAGGTTTTCCTGCATTTTAAATGGAAGCAGAATGTTTCACTCACTTTGCTGGAGGGAGCGAAAAAACAGAAGCTGCAGTTTGAGCTATTTATGGGTTTAAACGTCTCCATTAGTCGAGTTTCTAGCAGAGTATGGAGGGTTCAGCAGTTTTCTTAACGTGTCCAATGGGATCCAACAACAGCTGAGCCAGAAATTCTACTTTTATGAAGAAGATTTTTCCTCATTTATATTTTTACTAATATTAGTTCAATATTTTTACATGATTTACTGTAAAATTACACTTTTTTTTTCTTTTTATTGGTATGTAAATTAGCAACAATTTAAATCATATTACAGGTATTTGCTGTAATGGCAAGAAAAAAGAAAGAAAAACGTAATTGTGATTTTCCCTTTTTTGGTAGATTACATATTTTAAAGAAAGAAAGAAAAAAGTTTTATTTTACATGTTGCCTAAAAAGTAACTGTACATAATAAAACTGTACAAAGTGCCCACATTTACAATCTCTGTTTTCACTAATGGTGATTAAATGTTTGTCTAATGTGTACAATTAAACATTTTTACTGTATTTACATTAACATTAGAAGAGTTGAAAAATGGTAAATAACTTTTGACCTGTTGTTTTGCCTATTCTGGTCATTTACGGGTAATATCTGGTTTTTAGATATTTAAAAAGCTGCAAACGTATTTTTTAGTTCTGCACTTTATCTGACTTTGTTAACTCCATGATCGTGATTCCTTAGTGTTAGTTTTTGACAGCTAATATTCTCAGGCAATGAACAAACACTCGTTGAGGCAGATTTATTGAAGACGTATGACTGTGGTGGCGTCTGCGTCCTCAGGTGGCCCAGACCTTCTACATCACCATCAAGCCGGTGGACGACTCGCTGCCTCTGCTGCAGGTTCCAGGTATGAGGGTCCAGGAGGGCGTCAGGAAGACCATCACCGAGTTCGAGCTCAAAGCCACCGACGCAGACACCGAGGTACGAATCTCTGAAAGTCTTTACTATCGTTTCTTCTTTTAACCACTTTGGAGAAGATCACGAGCTCCTGATGAATGTTTAAGACGTTCTCTAATGACTAAGTCCTTTTTTTATTGGCTTCACTTCCTCGTCACTTGACTTGAATCAAACTTTTTTTAAAATCCTAAATTAAGTCATCTCTGTGTGTCAAACTGACATATTTAGACATATTTTTTTTACACAGAAATTAGACTTTCCTGCCTTAAAATGTCTTAGATGTAACTCTGCACTGCTGCTTAGCTTGAGCACACCAGCTCACCTGCAGCTGTAAAACTAATTAAATTAATTAAATCAGTAATAAATGTTCAAACCAGAAACCGATCTTGAAGAAGAGGAGTGATACAAAAAGTCCCACCCAACAAATGAACAGGGTCGGTTCCTTAGATTTGTTATATATGACATATTTAAGTCTTAATTTGTGGTTTTGCCTCCTTATTTTGCAAAAACAAAACAAAAACAAATGAAAAAACATAGTTTTCACTGCAGAGAGTCTTTGCTCCATTGCGTTAGACGCCTCATTTCCAACACAGACACACAAGAAAACGCTGATAAAATCAGCAATAAACTATTAAAAAGTCACATCCTGCAGTAAGCAGCAAACCCATTAAGAGTAAATCGGGCAATTAAGATTTAAAACAAGGTGAATTGAGTAAAAAAACAACAGCTGGAGGTGAAATTTATTAAATTAAAAACTTAAATTACCCTCTGGATGCTGTTCTAGCCTGCAGGTGCGCCGTGAATAACTCACATCATTCGACAGCAGCAGAGCAACGATCCAGTCGGGGCTGTAGAGATTCATTTATTAGTTGTCAGCGATTAAATTAATTGCTTGATGAATTAATTGGAAAGAAAAGAGTGTTGAAAAATCTCTGATTCCAGCTTCTTAGATGTGAACATTTTCTGATTTCTCGCCTTCTTCATGATAGTAATCTGAATATATTTTGATTTTGGACAGTTTGATCGACATGTTTCACCATTTTATGGCCAAATAATCAAGAAAATAGTGCACAGAAGAATAGAGATTGAAAAGAAATGGTTTGTTGCAGCCTTGAATTGACTATGATTTGAGGTTCTTTTCATTTTCTAGGAAAGCCTTTGAGTTGTGAATCTATTTAAATGCTAACAATAGTGGCAGAGTTGAGACTGTAAGTGCAAGATACAGAAAAATTATTTTGATTGTTAATGCAAAATAATAACGACGACTCTTTCTCGAGCCGTAACGTCCTTTAAAACGTTTCCCCGTCTTCACCTCTGGTCCGTTTCCCCCTCCAGGCCGAGTCCATCGTCTTCTCGGTGGTCCAGCCTCCTCGCCACGGCACCATCGAGCGCACCATCAACGGGCAGCACTACCGGCAGACCGGCACCTTCACCATGGACGACATCTACCAGAACCGCATCAGCTACAACCACGACGGCTCCAACTCGCTGAAGGACCGCTTCACCTTCACGGTGGCCGACGGCACCAACCTGCTCTTCATGGTGGAGGACGGCGGCAAAGAGGCGAGTGGAGGCATCTGTGGCCGGACTGTGTGTCGGTTTGTGGGCGTTTTTATTGCAGCCGGCTGATCGAAATAGCGGCGTTGACCGTTGACCTTTTCCTGACAGCGGGAGTGAATCAGAGGTTTGTTGGTCTTCTGTCTTTGTGAGGACTCGGTTCAGTTACAGAGCTGCAGAGCGACGTTCTTCTAAAGTGTAAATGGAGAGGGGAAAGACAGGGCTGTCTCAGAAAGTGTGACTAGTTATCGAAAGCAAGATCATTTAGGGAAAATAGCATCATTTTGAAAAGGTAAGACGTTGCTGGAAAGGTTTTACAGTCTTGAAAAGGCAGGAAATTCTTGAAAAGTGTAAACATTTATGGAAAGAAATGACATTTTGAAAAGGTAGAACTTTCCTGGGAAGTAAAAATATTTCTGGAAAGCAGGGCATTTTTGAAAAGGTAGGAAGACTCTGGAAAGAGTAGACATTCGTAGAAAGGTGAAAAATTCTGAGAAAGTGTAAACATTTATAGAAAATCAGCGCAGTTTGAAAAAGTAGGACATTTTTTAAATAATAGGACATTCTTGGAAAATGTAAACATTCAAAGAAAGTAAGATCATTTTGAAAAGGTAGGGAATTATTGGAAAGAACATTAATGGATAAAAAATGGACAGTTTGAAATGGTAGGACATTTTTAGAAATGTAAGAAATTCTTAGAAAGTGTAGACATTTATTGAAAGTTAGATAATTTAGGGAAAGTAAGATCATTTTGAAAAGGTAGGACATTCTTGGAAATATGAGACATTCTTAGAAAGGTATCACATTCTTAAAAGGAAGGGAATTCTTCAGAAGCGTAAGCATTTATGGGGGAAAAAATGACATTTTGAAAAGGTAGGACATTTTTGGAAAGGTACAACTTCTTGGAAAGTCTAAATATTAATGGAAAGCAATGACATTTTTGAAAAGACCGGGCGACTACAGAAAGGTTAGATATTCTTAGAAAGCTGAAACAATCATAGAAAGTCTAAACATTTATTAAAAGTGAAAACATTAATGGAAAGAAAGCACATTTTGAAAAGGTAAGATGTTTTTGAAAAGATAGCACATATTTGGAAAGTGAACACATTTATTGAAAGTAAGGGCATTTTGAAAAGGTAGGATATTCTTAGATGAGACATTTTTAGATAAGTATTGCATTCTTGAGTAGGTAGGTAATTCTTGAAAAGTGTAAACATTTATGGGGGGAAAAAAGTTACATTTTGAAGTGGTAGGACGTACATTTTGAAAAAGTGTGATATTGTAGGAAAGATAAGTCATTCTTGGAAAGCGTAAACATTTATGAAAAGTAAAATGTAGTTAAAATGACCAAAGAACAAAGATCCCAGATGGTCTACAGTCCAAAACATATCTTTTTGATTTATTCTTGATGAATTAATAATATACTTCAAAATTGCAACAAAAACGCACAATTATGAACACAAAATCAGCTTTTGAGACCCTCCAGTATTTTTTTTTGTAATTCCTTTTCTCTTTAATTAAAATAACCAGCAACAGGCAGATATCAGTGGATATTATTTCTGCTTTTATTTGTCTGTGTATCAATATAATTAGGAATTAGACTTTGATTTGCATTTTTAGATGCTAAGAACATGTTGTAAGTTCTATTGGTGTTAAAAATCTCTTGTAAAGGTGTTCCCCAGGGAACCTCACTGGGTCCCCTATCGGTTGCATTACAAAGAGCTAATTATGAAAACATATGCAATCGTGACAGGGTGTCTAACATTCACAAAAACAGCCTTCTAATCAATCCTGTCTGTCGTTTTGTTGTGGGATTCATAAGCTTCTATTGCAACCTTAACTCAGACTCCACCGAAACGTCAAAAAATAGTTGTTATTGGTTGTAACTTTTGATTTTAAACCCTCTCATCTGTCTTATTTAAAAAATTACAGTTAAAACAACTTGACTTCAAAAGGTAATAGGATTTAAAGCTGCTGTAGTCTAAGACGGGCTTTAGTTTCACCCTTCAGTGGTTTGTTTGCAAGGCTGCACCGGTAATCACTCACCTGGAACGCATTGCATAAAGGTCCTCGCAAGTGTGGAGCCATAAAGGTGTGTGTGTGTGTTGTTAATGTCAGCTTTATGGCGGTAGTTATGAGCGAGCCTCAGGGCGAATTGACTCCTCTGCTTGTCAATTTAGCCTCTCGGCCGCCCTCCACCACCTGCCGTCACTAATAGTCCACATGATTAAAGTGAATGACAGCGCGCAGGTATTGATATCCCCCAACGCACTCGCTTCCTGTGTTTATTATCCCTCCATCACCTGAAGATGTTCGGCTGCTCTCGTCCTGCAACTCTCAGGACATTTCGTGGCATTATCGCTGCAGGTTTCTGTTCCCAGCGGAGCCGCCCTGATATTAAATAATGCATGAGATGCTGTGAAGCGCGCAGACGAACGCATCCGTCAAATGTCAGAATTGGCCTCAACAGCAGCTGCGTGATGACAAGATGCTCTTTCAGAAACCGTGAATATTGGGGAAGCTCATCTGACTCAGGAGGGGAATCAATAAAGTAAAAACCTGCAGCTCTTGTTGCTGTCGCTACAATGACGTGAACCAAAGTCTGCGTACTCGTATACTTGTAAAGATCACGTATACCATGACAGTCTTGAGTTTCCAGCAACTCCTTCAACGCATCGAAACACGAGTCAGTCACAGAAAAACAATCATTTTGAATTTAGTTTATTTTATAGATTTATTACAGGTCTCCTGGAAATATGGCAAAATCTGTTGGGTCAAAAATATACATACCGTACAACTCAACTAGGTTCTTTTGGTTTCTAAAAGCTTCTGGTTTTTCTTTGACTCATCTGGACAGAATTGGTGCAACTCAACTAAATTTGTTGTCTTTCTGACATAAATGTGTTTCTTCATCACAGTCCACGAGTTCTTGATGGGGTTTGAGACTAAAACCTTCTATTGAACCATTTCTTTACCACTTTTGGTGTTTGGGCTCATTGTCTCGTTGAAACACCCAACTGTGTCCAAGATCAACCTTCTGCTGATGATTTTAGGTTTTTCCTGAAGAATGTGGAGGTGATCCTCCTTCTTCATTGTTCCGTTTACTTTGTGTAAAGCTCCAGTTCCACTGGAACCAAAACAGCCCCAGAGCATGATGCTGCCACCTCCATGCTTGACTGTTTGGTGTTCTTGGGTTTAAAGGCCTCAAATTCTTTCCTCCAAACATATTTCTGCTCATTGTGGCCAAACAGCTCAGTTTTTGTTCCATCTGACCACAGAACTTCCCTCCAGAAGGCCTTTTCTTTGATCAGCAACAACTTTAATGTGGCTTTGTATTCATTAATGACCTGCTTTTTGGTGACTCTTGACCATCCTGACCAAATGTCTAAATGGTGTTTGTGCTTTTTGCAGGAATTGCTTTAAGTGGAGACTCTTTACAGTTAAACCTGCCCATAATTTTAGATATTTAGCATCTAGAACGTAGTTCCCACCTTTACTGAGTCAAAACTCTGTGCCATAGAAATTCAGAACAGTGTGTCCTCTTTTCTGTGTATTTTTACCTTTTTTCCATGTGTTAAGTGTGTAATTCTGGCACTATTGCAGGAATCTTGTAAGCGACTCCTTTGACTACCCCCCAGAAAATGACATTTTAGTGTTTTAGTTGGGTTATGAGACTGAGGATGAACTTTTCAGCATCAGAAATCAACCTGGGGCGACTCTAATATCTGACTGAAGATTGCACCCTTGTTTCGGATAGCGTTTCTGCAACTCACCGTTGGTCATATTGGGATTTATGTGGTATATACCTCAAAACTTGGGCCAATAAAACCAAAAACTATCTACTTATGCATGTATAGACACATGGAGAAGTAACTGAGAGAAGATATATTTGTCGTTTTTTTTTTTTTTTTTTTTAAATACCCATTAAATTCATTACAAAAACTACATCCGCCATCGTTTAACGTCTGTTTTTTTTTTTTGGTTTTCCAGATCGTGACAGCAGCTCCCCAGAAGTTTAAGATCGATATTCTGCCTGTCGACGACGGGACACCACGAATCGTCACCAATCTGGGGCTGCAGTGGCTGGAATACATGGACAACAAGGTACACGTCCTCAAATACCTCATGTTTTCTGGTGGTTTGTGAAGTTTAATAGCAGCAAAGCGAGGACCACTGATGGAGATGTTTTTCTGATTTATTACTTCTTATCTGTCACCAGTAGCACAGTGAGTTGTTTTTTAAGTTTTTTAAAGTGTAAATATTCTTTAAACGGCTAAATGTGACTTTGTGAGTGACAGAAAAATGCTTTACTCCACGTGAAGCTTTGATTTCTTTCTAAAAAACAAAACAAAACATGACTTTGATCATTTATGCCGAGCCTGCGTCGAGTTTTCACGGCAGGTAATTAAGTCCTGAGCGTTTCATCACTGTGGCAAATTATCATAACGTACGTAATAAGTTCTTCGAGCGCCGGGGAGGAAACAAAACCCGACTATTAGCAGGCAGTTGATCAGTTTTATAATCCTGAAGTCTTTATCCAGCCAAGGACTGACGGTGCAGCAGGTTCACGTCTTCGTGTCCTTGTTTAATGTTAATCTGTGGGCGGACGAGTGCAGGTGGAGGACGTGAATAAAGCTCATTTGTAATCCTGAGATTGGTCTTAAAAATGCAGAAACTGAGCCATAAAATACCTTCTGTGGTGTTTGGTGCGTTTATGTTGGTCGATTACAGTGTTGTAGTGAATTTACAGGCTGAATATACGTTAGAGTTCCTTTAAATTTGTCCTTTATTTGGCACTAAAGACACATTTATGCAAAAAGAGAAACTTGCATATACTCAACGACTCTCCTGGATCTTGAAAAATAATTTACTGGATCATATTCTGGATGAAACAAAGTCTTAAATGTGACACTTAATTTATTTATGTGGATCCGCTGCAGTGGTTTTAGCCTGATTTTGTTCTCTAAGTGCAGAAAATAAAACTTATCTTCCTTCGGAGCACAGATGTTTACTGTAAAAACTGTGTCATTATTGTTATTGTGTATTATGTAAATCAATGTTTTTAACTGTTATTTTATAGATTTTCCCTGTTTAATTAAATTACAGATGATATCTAGAAAAATCACAGAAAATAACTTTATGCTATTTCTAAAAAAAATAAAATTAAAAAAAAAACCTGACCAAAACTGTACATAATGGCCTCGTGGAAAATCAGTTTGAAGGTAAAATAGTAGAAAAAAATATTCTTTTTACTGTATTTAAATCATCTAAAAATGAAATATATTGTTCAGAAAGGATTGAAAAATGGTAAATCCTTTTTTTTTTTAACTGTTATTTTCCATATCTAATCTGTTTTGTTAAGTTAATAAATGATTGAATTGAAAATCACAGGGGAAAAAAATACACATTTTCATGCTACGTGTAATATTTTTTTTAAAGAAGTCAAAAGGCCAAAACTGTAAATAATGTCCACATCAAAACATCTGTATTTTTTACAAGTAATTCATATTTAGTCTTTTCACAACATGTGACCATAAAATTATATTAATATACATTTTTTTTAAATTAAAATTGGTTAAAAATATATAATTACTTTACAGATATTTGTTGTTATTTTCACCATTTTGACATTTTTGAACATTACAATATTGTTATTATCTGTTTGAGCTGCAGTTGAAGTGACGTTTGTGCATAAATCTCACCTATAATTCTGTTTTAGTGACGGATTATAACGTTTTATAGTCGTAGTTTATAGTCTTACTGCTCTGTTAGCATCATGCAATTAAGAATACATTTCTTGAATTGGATTAGAGGGTAATGAAAAGAAGAGAACAGTAAATCTAAACATGTTTATGGAACTTTGAACAATGACTCACTTTAAGGTGACTTTCCTTAAAATGAAGCTAAAGAAATGCTCATTTGAGGAGAATCCAGTGATTTAATTACATCAAACATAACCAGGGATGTTCCTTTGACTTAATTTGGATGAGCTGTGTGTTACCAGATGAAACACTTGATGTAAGTTTGTGCAACAGCTCTCCTTTCTCAGTGTTGATGTAAAACCTCTAATATTCAGTCTGAATGTGGCTCCAGTGCAGGACGTTCATGACGTTTCATTAAACTCAAATGTTTCAGGCCACCAACCTGATCACGAAGAAGGAGCTGCTGACGATGGATCCGGACACCGACGACACTCAGCTGGTTTATGAGATCACCACAGAGCCGAAGCACGGCTTCCTGGAGAGCAAGCTGAAGCCTGGAAACCCCGTCAGCACGTTTACTCAAGGTACGAGTTCAACCTCAGGGTTTTATCTGGCAGGTAGAACGTCTGCACACCTGGATAAGTCAGGTTCTACACACTCATCACGGCACATTTCTACACCGTCTTTGATATTCTGCAGACTTTACATCCCACTTTAATAAAAAATAAAGACCTGGAAATCCTAAACTGTAAAATGTATAAAATGTAATGTATTTTTTGAAGGAAAATTTCATGTTATTTTAAATATTTCTACTGTTTGTTAAATTACAGATCATTCATTATTATTATTATTATTATTATTATTATTATTATTATTATTATTAATAATAATAATAATAATAATAATAGTATATATCATTTAAATCGTTTAGGCATTTAATAAAACAGGGTGAATCTGTAAAACAATAGTTAAAATGCATGATATTAATATTGTTAAATAAACAATACAATAACAACAACAACAACAATAATAACTAGTAAAATCACAAGAAAGTCTTATTTTACATGTTAATAAGAATTTAATAGTTCAAAACTGTAAATAATGTCAACATTAAAAACAAATATTTATACAGCTAGTGATTTGTTGTTTTTTTTCTACGTTGGCTATAAAATTACATTCAACAAAATGCACATTATAATTTAAAAAATATTGTATTTAGATTAGCAAGAAAATTAGCATTTTACAGACATTTGCTGTTATTGAAGACAAAAAAAGGTTGGTACTTTTTTTTGTTAATTAATTGTTAATTTACAGATAATGTTGAGTAAAATCACAGGAGGAAACAAAAAAGTATTAATTCCTATTTTAGCTGTAAAAACTGTTAATACTGTTATTTTAGTGATAGCATTTATTCTCTTAGCGTGTGTGATAGTGTCTAATAAATTGTTATTACAGATATTTCCTGTTATTTTCACTCTTTATACAACCTTTATTGAACCTGACATTATTCCATCATGTTTTTTTTCTGCCACCGTTGCTCTCTGTCGGTGCTATTTTACAGATTTGGGTTTTTTTGTTGTTTTTGTTTTATTACAGTGATTATTCCGTCTTACTCGCCCTGATCTCTGTCAATAGAAGCAAAATTAGTGACATGACTTCAAAAACAGCCTCCCAGAGTTAATTTAAAGGATTTTTAAGTGCGTGAATTGATTATTTCCTCTCATATTAGAGACCTCAGCTCTGCTGAAGCCTCTGCTCAGTCTGGAGGGTTTCCTCTCCAACTGAGCCGAACCACAAACACAGACGTGGTTTCATCGGCGTGACGTTGCAGCGCTGCCCTCTGCTGTCCGTCCTGTACGTTCCGCTCATTCACGGAGGCTCAGGTGACACTTCAGGCTGGTTTAAAGGCAGAAGAACAAGGAGAAAAAGTCACATTTGCATTTTTTACATGTGGAAAGAGGTGACAAAACTCCCAGCATTCTCACCTGTCAGCTCCATCTCAGCTCCTCCTCTACTGGAGTCGACCGTTTATCTTCCTCTTCGCAGCCAATTTGCAGTTTTAAATCGTCGCGATGCTGCTGATGAGCTCCTGGAGGCTGCAGCCGCGGATCAACGTTGTGAAAGTGTTGATCCTGGAGGCTGCGATGCCACGAACGGCCGCTTTGATGTGGCGAACGCTGCATCTGGAGCATCGTTTTCTTAACGATAACAAATATCCAATAACTCAGCCCGAGAGAGGAAACAGGCTTCTGGTGCAGACTGTCAACACGGTGTACAAATGCTCTCATTGTGGGTATTAAAGTGTGATATTTTAGCCTCGGTGGCCTCGTCGAGCTCCGTTTTCTCTTCATCATGGAGCGCCGAGGCCTCCTGAAGGTCGTCTGCCAGCTTCTGTAGCAGCTCGTCGTTTTTGTTTGGCCCTGAGTCAAAGGATTTTTCTCGTGGACGGTGTAAATGAGCAGAAAATGTGAGCCGATGACTTTCATCTTCAATTTCAAAGCTTTTTTTTTCCTCCAAGTGCTGTGAAATGACCGCAGGCAGCAAATTATGGAATCATTACCTGACAGGAGAAACATTCCTCACAGAGGGCTTTTATTTTGTCTGTTGGTCTCCTCGCATTGAGGTGTTATTACTGCATCTGCCGGAATTATTCATATTAATTCACCTAATTAATTGGATTTTTTAAAAGCTAAAGGTGCTCAAAGACTCACAAAACTTTGCTTCAGAAATGGTGAAAAGCGACTCAGAGTTCAAAGTTAAAGTCCTCAAATTTGGTATTTACCTGAATGCACGCTGTAAAAAAAAAAACTTTAAATTATTGAAAACCTTTTATGCTAAAATGTATGTTATACAATAATGATGTAATACATTTATTTTGTATAGCGCTTTTCAAAATACTCAAGGTCGCTTTACAGGGTACAAGATAAAAACAGAAACAAGGTGAATAAAAAGCAGGTGAAATGGTGGACAAATGGTGGAATTCTGTTTTTCAAAAGCTGTAAAAATGTTGAAAATTACAGCCAATTTCTGTACAACAATTATATTTGTTGGCTGATTAAATACAAAATATTCACACGTAAAAAGAAAAAAAATGACCATTTATAAAACAAGACAAAATGTGGACATGACATTGCTTTGTTTGGGTAGTTTGTTTTATTTTATGGTCTTTTCTGTGATTTTACTGGATTTTTTCTGCAATTTAAAAAAACAGAAAAAAAATCTGTAACATAACAGTTACTTACCTTTTTTTTTTCTTTTTTTTTTTAATCCTTAATATAAATTTTTTTTTTTGCAATACCAGCAAAAACCTCTAAAATAACAATATTGTTGTTGATTTTAATAGAATAAAACATTTTACAGTCAGATGTTTAAGAGAACAAATTACAATTTGTTATTTACAGTTTTGACTTGGTTTATTACAGCGAATGAGTAAATTCATATTTGTTTAAGTAGTTATTGTCTGTAATTTAACAAAAAAAAGGGGACATTTGTAAAATAACAGTAAATTTGACCAAAAAAATTGTTAAAAACAACCATTTTTTACAGTGTAGTGAACCCTAAAAACAAATGTCTCACCAACAACAACAACAACAACAACAACAACAAAGTAACAGTTTTCTTCCATTTTCTAATTGTATAAAACCATCAAACTGTATTAAATTCTGAGAATAAGTCTTTGCTCTAAGATCCGTGGTATTTTAATTACATAACTATTTAATAATTAGAAGCGTAAAGACGAGTTTTTAAATACTTGAAATCCTGAACTGGAGAAAATAACTAAAAAGTGATCAGACCACTTATTTACTGTCCAACAACTTTAATGTCGTTTTAAAGTAACCAACAAACAGACTGATGCCCAGCAGCAGCAGAAGCAGCAGCAGCAGGAGTTTCTTTGTGCTTTTCCCATCAGACTCATGATGAATCATCACTGATCTGATCTCGTTCCTTTGCAGCCGACATCAACCTGGGTCTGATCCGCTACGTCCTGCATCAGGAGAACGTCCAGGAAACGATGGACAACTTCAAGTTCCTGGTGAAGGACAGCAAACCCAACGTGGTCAGCGACAACGTCTTCCACGTCCAGTGGTCTCTGATCAGCTTCGAGCACAAAAGGTCTGTATCTACTGACAACAACGTCCATGTATTCACTGTGACGGGAAAATCCATCAGAGTTACAGGACTTTCTACTCGTGTTTTTACATTTTTGTATCTGATCGACTTTACTTTCTAGAAATCTGCTTTCACTTTGACGTTTTTTGGTCCACACAGCCGTATTACGTCGACCCTAAACTGACTTTAAATAACTCGTTCCTCAGCTACAACGTGAGCGAGAAGGCCGGGACGGTGGCGGTGACGGTGAAGAGGACCGGTAACCTGAACCAGTACGCCATCGTGCTGTGCAGGACCGAGCAAGGCAGCGCCACGTCCACCAGCAGCACCGGATCCAAACCGGGCCAGCAGGACTACGTGGAGTACGCAGGACAGGTAGCTGAGCTTAACAGAGAAGCTTTACGTGGGCTTTTTTTTGTGTGTGTGTGTTTCCCCTAAAAGCAATAAAACACTTCTTTGTAAACCAACGTTGGAAAAAAACACGTCTGCTTTTAACAACAATCACTGTTTGATTCAGAGAAGATTCTCCTTTAAATTCAGTAATAATGTTGGTAAAATGATAAAACAGCTTCAAGTTGACGTCTCATCAGTGGTAGGGATTGTAAAAATTATAAAAAAGTGTAAAAAGTCTTTCTGTGGTTAATGTCATATTTTATTTTTTTTCAAATAAAAATCTGGGTGTCATCAGATGATCTGTAATTTATTTGTAGTTCAAAAATGTAATTTTTAAACTAAGAATGATGATTTTAAAAATGAGAATCAAAAAAATAATACAACACGGTCAATTTTTGTTCAGAAATCTGTCGTGTTTTTTACATTTTTTAAAAAAATTAATTTTAAACAAGAGTAAAAACAACAAAAAATAATAATTATGTGGGCTATAAAATGTTTCTTTCCAAATAAAAAAGAAGAAAACCAATCAGTATTGATATATTGGTAAATCCTTTCTCATTAAAATAATAATAAATAAATAAAAGATTATCTGATGACAAACTGATTTTTGCAGATTTTTTAAAAATCAAATCCAGTTTATTCACATAGCTTGACAAGCAAACATCAAAACAATACACAGCTTGTAAAATCAATGAGCAAAAAACTAAATAAAATAATAAAACAGTCAAAAGATGACGGAAAACTTGCAAGATCAGGTTAAAAAATTGAGATAAAGATGAAATGTTTGTTCCAGTAAGAGCAGCCAAACATCATTAAAAACTCGTCCATCTTGAGGTTATTTTTTTTTTTCTTAAGTATCTTAGCGAAGGAGGACCAGCGACCGTTCCTGACCAACCTCCGTCTCTTGTAGGTGCAGTTTGACGAGCGCGAGGACACCAAGGTGTGCACCGTGGTCATCAACGACGACCAGGTGTTCGAGGGCGTGGAGAGCTTCCAGGTGGAGCTCAGCATGCCGGTGTACGCGCTGCTGGGCGGCAACACGCGCGCCGCCGTGCACGTCAACGACACCGAGGACGAGCCGACGCTGCAGTTCGACAAGAAGACGTACCACGTCAACGAGAGCACCGGCTTCGTCCACGCCCCCATTGAGAGGAAAGGTGAGCAACATGTACCGTCTTCCTGTTTCTGCACCGAGACACCCGGTCAGAATCACATATCTGAAGTAAAAACGAAGCTCTTTTCAAAAAAACATAACTTTATATGAGTGATAATAACAATAAAAGTTTGTCTTTGTGAAACTTTCTTGCCATTGTGACCAAAAACATGCAGCTTATGCCAGAATCAGACACGAGTGTTTGGATTTTCAGCAGAGCTGTGGTGCTGTTTCTGATGTTCAAGCTGCTTGTATTTAGTATTTCTATTGTCCTTGTTTAGATTTGGAAGCCAGACTGCGACTAACACGACTTGTGTGGGTGTTATATGCAGGAAAATGATCAGTGACGTACATGACATCTGATCTTTGTGATCTTGGGAAGGAAAATTGAAAGAATAAAACTCAAATCAGTGTTTACAAGGCCACAGAGTCACACAAAAAGCTGTTTTTTCATCTTTTATGAAGCAAAACAACTAATTATCTGTTATAGTTCCAGATCCACACCTTTGTCTTGCATAAACACGCAGCTTTTAAACAGGATTCATATCATTTTTTTTGCAGATTTCAAGTTGTTTACATGATATAATACATAACCTTGCACATTCTCAGGGGATTAATTTTCACATTCCTGCACACTGCACATATTTCTCGTACTTTTCCTCACTTTTTTTAATAATTCCTTGCATTTGCTACTCAAGCCTTTGATTTGTATTTTGTTCAAATAAAAAATTAAAGGATTTGTAATTCATGAATCTCGATTAACAGCGTTTTTATCAAACAGCGATGTTTGACATAATAAAAATAAAGTTTTTCAATTCAAATACATTTTGGTGGACGACCAAATTAAACTGAACTTAAACAACAAAAATGTTTATTTTTCGTCTATATTTATCTGCGTTTTTAATCTGTCCACCACATTCACAGATCAAAGTGCAGTTATAACGATTATATTCAACATTTTAAGGCTTTTTTGTCTTAAAACTCTTTGTTGAACACAACCATGGAGAAGCTTCGCCTGCAGCTCTTTGCATGAAGGAGACTTCACTTCAGTTTTAAATTTTGTCAAAATGGCCCCTGTGGACTTGTGGCATCAGGTTTTGATAAGTCTTCCATTAGTGTTCACCAGACTTTCTTGATGTCACTCAGTGCATCCTGTGCATCTTCCTCTCACCAACGAACTTTAGGTGCATTTTGCAGTTAAAGTTAATGAATTACTAACAATGAGGAGGTCGGGCCAGATGGATGGACGACTGAAGAGGAGGCTGTTGTTCCTGTTTTACACTGAGAGCATCTTTTCTTTCAACTTTAGCTCCCTGTTTATTATTGTAACCATAGAAACGAAGGTTCGCTGACCTAAACGATGTACTTATTTTAACCCAAAGCAGGATCTGTCCCTGGATCTGTCAATCTGAACCTAAACGGCGACAGCAAGGCTCAAGGAGCTCACTGCTTTTATCCGCAGGTCAAACACGGTCAGCTGATTTGCAAAATGACGAGCAGGAATGAAAACATCTGGTTTCCAGTTAAGACATGAGAACCAGCGATCGGGTCCCTTAATCCTGTACAGAAACAGGATTAAGGGACCCGATTGCGAGTGTCAGTGTTACTGATGTGCCAGAAGTTAGGGAACTGAGGAGGGTGTGATTAAATGCGTTACTTTTTTCACGCGTTATTTTTTTCCGTAACTATTTAATCGATATTCTGCTCTAGAGGTTTGCAGTCAATTGTACAGTAATTAGCTGTTAAAGTGTAAAAATACATTAAAATACTGACAACCACAGCTGCATTTTTACAGGATTCTCTCTAGTGTGCATTTCTGATTTTTTATTTTTTATTTTTTATTCCCGCCTTTTCCCCCCGTTAGGCGACGCCTCCAGCACCGTGTCGGCGCTCTGCTACACCGTGGCCAAGTCGGCCCAGGGCAGCAGCCTCCACGGCCTCGAGTCCGGCTCCGACTACAAGAGCCGCGGCATGACCACCGACAACCGGGTCGTGTTCGGGCCCGGCGTCAGCATGTCCACCTGCGACGTCAAGCTCATCGACGACAGCGAGTACGAGCTGTCCGAGGAGTTCGAGCTGGTGCTGTCGGACGCCTCCGACAACGCCCGCATGGGGGACGTGTCGGTGGCCAAGGTGGTGATCGACGGGCCCAACGACGCCTCCACCGTTACCCTCGGCAACGCCACCTTCACCTTCAGCGAGGACGCAGGTAGGAGCTGCTGTCTTACATCCAACAGTTTTTTCTAGATTTTCAAAGGAATGAGGAGTTTTTTTCTCTTTGAACATTAAAGGAAATGTGGAAAGTTACTGATTTTAAGGACACAATTACAAATTTGTCATCCACAACAGCTTTCATCCCAATCAAACATGCAAAAGTATGTACATTTATATTAAAGATGGTCAAAATAAAGGTTTTTCTTCAAGAAACTTTAACTTTCCTTGTAATTGGGACCAAAGAAATGCAGCTTGTACCATAATCAGGCATGACATTTACAATTATGCTGTTTATAGTTGGTATTTCTGACATCCTTGAGTATGTATGGAAGCTAGACTGTAATTAATATGACTTATGTGGGTTTTTATGGAGAAAAAATAAGGTAAAGCGGTAATAATCCCAAAAATCAAGTCATTTTGATGCATTAGATACGTTTTAGTCCCAATTTAAGGGTCCAGTGACTTTGTGACGACTGCAGTATAAGAGTTAAACTGGTCCTTTAAAGATGTTTTAACAGGTAAAAAGGATAAAGAGCAAGTAAAATAATGCCAAAACTTATAAAAGATAGTACTGTATTGTAATAATAAAGGTCTGTCTTTGTGAAACTTTAATATTTCTTGTAATTGGGACCCAAAAAAAAGCAGCTCATACCATAATAAGGCCTGACATTTACAATTAAAGGCATCGTTGTAGTGCTGTTTCTGATGTTTTGGCTGTTTATGTTTAATATTTCTAACATCCTTGAGAATATTTGGTAGCTAGACTGTAATGAATAAGACTTGTGGGTTTTGTATGTGGAAAAAAGAAATGAAAGTGCTTATAATATGACACTGATGGCTGAAATCAAGTCATTTTGATGCATGAACAACATTTCAGAGCCAATTTAGAGGCTCTAGTCATGTTTTAATAAGTGGAAACTGCAATATATGAGCAGAACTGGTCCTTTAAAGCTGTTTTAACAGGTAAAAACAACTGCATTTGTTATAATGTGGGACACAGAGCAGGCAAAATATATTACATATTTCTATTATATTTGGAAGCTGGACTGTAATTCATGTGACTTGAGTGGGTTTCATGAGTAGAAAAACTGAATTAAAGGGGTTCTAATCTTTAAAATATAACCTAAATTAAGTCAGTTTAATGTATAAATTACTTTTCAGTCCCAGTGTAGGGGCTCTAGTCACTTTTTGACAAGTAGAAAACTGCATTATGTCAGTTAAAGTGGTCCAGAGCAGGTGAAATCATGCAGAAACTTAAAGATAATACAAGTGTACCTAAAGTATGCGTCTGAAATGTAATCTAGAGTTTACATGTCTTATTTCACATTAATCATCAGTCTCTTATCGTTTTTCAGCTCCTGTTTATGTTGCACTCTGTTGTTTTTTTCGTTGTTTAATTTGCTTTGGGACAGAAAACATGTTTTGAAGCAGCAAACAGGCGACGCATATTGTTCTAAACTCTGTGTAATTAGCAGAGCTGGCGTTTCCGCTGTTCCTCGTCTCTCTGCTGAGCCTGTTCTTCCTCTTAGTTGCCCTCTGACACAGCTTTAATCCTGGATAAAGGCATCGGCCGTGCAGCGCTGAACCGTTGGCATCATTAGCCGTGGCGAAATTAGCTGCAAAATTCAGCTTCTCGCTCAATTTATTCTGCTGCTATTAATTAGCTCCCAACCCGAAGGACTTTGAAATTGCAGACCAAAGCGGAGTTTGCGACCCAGGGCCCGTTGAAGGTCATCTCATTTCGTATCATCCTGGTTGTCAGGAGAGAAAAGCCTCGGGTTACATCTGGTTTTAGAAATACCCGGCTCACCGTCTTTGCATTTCCTACATCTGTATCAACTGCTGCTGTCAAAAAAAGCAAAAATGTCCCGTAAAAAAAAACACCATTCCCGTTTTTCATGTGTTTTTAACCCTGCATTTAATGTTTTACCGTCACCATCCAGGCACGATTGAGATACCGGTGCTGCGCCACGGCAGCGACCTGTCCTCCCTCACCTCCGTCTGGTGCGCCACCAGGCCGTCGGACCCTCCATCGGCCAGCCCGGGGGTCGACTACATCCCCAGCTCCAAGAAGGTGGAGTTCAAACCTGGAAAAACCGAAGAGGTACCGACAGAAACATTCATTATTCCACTTTTGGATAGCAAAGTGGGAGCTGGATTGGAGTTAAGTCTTTAGGATTAGGAGCTTTACACGGATAAATGTCAATTAGGTAGTTGGATAAGAAGCATACAGCAGTGTTTAGACTATGTTTAATCATTACCAGAGCTCACTAACACCAAGGTTCCGCTCTAACTACCAGGAAATCAAATATTGACCCATTTTACAAACCTCTGGCCTCCTTTTTTTTTGACAGACCTGCAGTTTGACCATCATGGACGACGTCCAGAACCCGTCCATCGAAGGATCTGAGTCTTTCATCGTGTTCCTCAGTTCACCTCAAGGCGCTGTCCTGCAGGAACCCTACGAGGCCAACGTGGTCATCACCGACACCTTCCAGGACAGTACGTACACAGCTGAGGAATGCTAGCTGCAGTTAGCATAGCTTGCAAGATGGATTCCCACTTTAAAAATCCATAAATTATGCAGGAAAAAGGATTAAAACAAAAAGTAATTTCAGCTGCATTGTTTACTCAAGCGTTGCTACGTCCTGTCTAAGCGTAGGACACAACATCCTACTTTAGTGGACATTAGCTAACTAGCAGTAATGCTGACAATGACTGATTCAGTAAAAAATAAGGAATGCCAAGCAAAAATGCAATGCAGAAATTAACTTTATGGAGTCAAAAACCATCAAAAGAATGTCCATTTTCATGCTTTGCCTCATAAGCTCAATGTGTTTTTTCATTTTTAGCTAGCTAATGTTTATAAGGTTGTGTGTGCAAACAGTCCAACTCAGTCAGCTAGCAAAAAACAGCCATTCCCCGAAGGAAAAGCGTCCAGTTAAATGATTAAAATACAAATTACACTGACCTGAAGTTGAAATGTAGACTTCTCACAGCCATCTTTGCATCCCTCAGTTCCCAGCATGCAGTTTGAGAAGAGTGCCTACACTGTGAAGGAGAAAGACAACGTCCTCCACATCCCCATCTTCCGGACCGGTGACCTGTCCTTCAAGTCGTCGGTTCGCTGTTTCACCAGAACCATGTCGGCCATGGTGATGGACGACTTCGAGGAGAGAAGAAACGCAGACGAGTCGCGCATCACTTTCCTCAAAGGAGAGAAGGTGACATGTTGATCCTCAGTGGGCTGAAATGTTGTACAGTGTTTGTTCTCGGTATCTACACATCAGTGTGTTTGTTTATTTCGTAGGTGAAAAACTGCACAGTTCACGTAAACGACGACTCCGTCTTCGAGCCTGAGGAGGAGTTCCAGGTGCATCTCGGGACGCCGCTCGGCGACCACTGGAGCGGCGCCATGGTGGGCGTGAACGACATCGTCACCATCACCATCACCAATGATGAAGATGGTGAGTAGACGCTAGGTCACATGAAGTACTGATGGAGCCTTTAGTTTAGTTAGTAAGAAAAACTGAGTAACCTTCATTTGTCTTCTTCATTTACTTGGAGAAAGATGTAAATGATGGTTTGATGGGGTTTTGTTGAGCATCTTCATCAGTTTTGAAGTGTACAAGTGTAATTTAGTCTCACACATTATGTTTTAGCAGCACGTGGACAGAACCTAATGTGTAAACCAATATCTTTAAAATGTATAAAAAGTGCAAAACACCTGCAGCGATCCTTGTTGCTGTCAATTGTTTGCGTAAATAATGTTTTTATGTAACTGTGGCTGTCATAAATTGCTTGTACATGTATGAGATGAGATCAAAAATTCCATCCACAGTGTAGTAATCTCCTTGTGCAGCGATACACTGCTCCCAGTGCTCCTTCAACTCTCCCCCGATATCGAGTACCGTCTGCGATGAGCGCTGAATCTCCTCAAATTTGTCAAAACATCAAACCCCAACAATGAATTGCAATTTTGGAGAAGAGTAAGATGTCTCAGGGACTCAAATCTGGCAAGAAGAGAGCACCGATTGTGTTGCAGTGGTGAAAAAACTCTTGTCTCTGAGACTGCAGCTTTTCCACTTTAAAAACTATTGTATCTACTCTTGATGGTAGCCGCTAGCCCACCTCTGGTCTCCTATGATGATCCTCTACATGCAGGTTGGAGCATCTCAGTAGATAACTGACACAGAATTGGATGTTTGCTCTCTGTGAAAGTTAGAGATCCACGGTGAAATCACAAATACATGCCAGCAAGTTGTCAAGAAACCTAACAATTGTTCATTTTTATAACAGAATGTCACACATAACCACAAATGTTACTGCTGTCCTCATACATATTTGTTTTTTGTTTTTTTTTGTATTTTTTCCCTGCGATTCTCTGTTGTCTATTGGCATTGTATAGAAAGATGTTTAATATAAATCATCATTAAGGGTGTGTTAACTTGGTAATGCCAGTTTGTTACAATTGGTACAACAAGCTGACACAGCTAGCCTCACATTTAAAATATTTCATTATCAATACAAATTGGATGGATTAGAAACAACTCTCAGCTCAGCTTCAAAACAGTTTCAACAAAAACTGGATATTATAAACTTCAAGAAGGTCGGATTTCCTGCAAGACTGTTGCTTTAGTTGTATCTGGATACATAGCTATGACTTAAACAGTGTTTTATATCTCCTCCCGTTCTTCCAGCTCCCACCATCGAGTTCGAGCAGGCGTCCTATCAGGTCAGAGAGCCTCCAGGTCCAGACGGCATCGAGGTTCTCAACATTAAGGTGATCCGTCGCGGCGATCTGGACCGAACATCCAAGATCCGCTGCAGCACCCGGGACGGATCGGCCCAGTCCGGGGTCGACTACAATCCCAAGAGCCGTGTGCTCAAATACACCCCTGGTCAGTGTCAAAAACACCTCACATGACAAATCCTGAAAAAACATCTAATATATACATATCAAATATCCAGATTTATTTTATTTTTTTCGATTTCCCAGGAATGGACCACATTCTGTTCAAAGTGGAGATTCTGTCCAACGAGGACAGGGAGTGGCACGAGTCCTTCTCATTGGTTCTTGGCCCCGACGACCCGGTGGAGGCGGTGCTTGGGGAGATCACCATGGCAACGGTGACCATTCTGGACCAGGAGGCTGCAGGCAGCCTCATCCTCCCTGCTCCACCTATTGTAAGAAAACTTAACAACAGAACAAACTGGTACCAGACGTATTTAGGACTTTTCGTTGCTTCTTTTCTGCAGCAACGTGTTTTTAACGCTTAACAACCCTGTCAGGAAAACATCTTCCACTCCTGGCACCAACACATCTATCCTCTTATGTATATTCAGAAACTCTGCAGTAAACGTGGGCAGCGTTCTCTTACTTCAGGCTTTAACATTTCATATGGATTTACCCAGAACCGCTCACAATGAATATATCAGTTCAGCTATGTTCTTACGCCAATAAAAATATTATACGGTGCTTGTAGGAATTTAATCTCAGTGTTGCTGAGTATCTTGTTAAAGGAAGCAAATTTGAAATCCTTTGCATCATCCTCCATCTTCTATCCTCCTCAGGTGGTCTCACTCGCCGACTACGATCACGTCCAGGAGGTCACCAAAGAAGGCAGCAAGAAGACTCCATCTCCAGGTTACCCTCTGGTGTGCGTCACCCCCTGCGACCCCCACTATCCCAAATACTCAGTGATGAAGGAGCGCTGCGAGGAGGCAGGAATCAACCAGACCCAAGTCCACTTCTCCTGGGAGGTGGCGGCGCCAACGGACACCAGCGGTGCCCGGTCGCCCTTTGAGACGGTCACTGATACGACGCCGTACACCAGCGTCAACCATATGGTGGGTTTATCTTTGGAGGGAGATATCTAACTAGCACACTGTGAGACATTTCTTATTTATTTTTTTGCTAAATAAGGAAACTAATTCAATAGTGACATTTGGTTTTCAACTTTGGAAAAAGTTGAAAATTGTACAGTTCCGTTTTGACTGTTTCTGGCTCTGATAAATTGTGTATTTTGGCAACCACTGGCAGTTTTGGGGTTTGGAGGGTTACAACTGCCAAGATAATGCTGAGGAACATTGACAGAAAGTAGAGGCTTTTGTAGAGTCAACACAGCAATGCAGAATAGTATCATCTGCATAAAGACGAACATTAGGGTCAGTTATATTATGAGAATAAATGAATAACACGAAAACTGTCCGCATAAAAGTATACAATGAAGACTTCAAGCTAAGACAGACTAGATATACATTTTGTAGAGTAAAAACTCCTGATGTATTCCTTAACTGTACTAGTTGCTAGCATACTATAAGCTTTCCTGCTCTTTCTCTTATCATTTGGGTCAAAAATAATTTTGTCATTTCATTGAGTTTAAGCTTTATTTGGAAATGTTTTGGCAACATTTTGGTATATAATATGCTGAAGTTGCTGGTAAAGGCTGATAATTAGACATAAAAAGGCTTTTTTTTTTTAGACTTTTTTAAGTGAAATGATCGATCTACAACTGGGAGACTATGATGGTGCCATTTGTATACATATTTTTCTTGCCCAGCCCTTTCAGAAAATGGCTAAATCTTTTTTGAATTTAAAAAAAAAAAAAAAAAAAGTTCTAAAAGCTGTTTTTGAACATTCATAACTTCAGAATTAACCAATTGGGTTTGGAGCCAGAAGCCTCAGTGAGGGTTTGAAAGTTAGCAGATAGATTGACGAATTTGTGCTCTAGTTTTTCAATGAATTTGTTTGTATCTTTTTCCTCTGTAGTTGCATCTCTAACCTCTCATCGTTGTGTCGTCCCTCTCAGGTCCTGGACAGCATTTATTTCAGCCGCCGCTTCCACGTCCGCTGCGTGGCTCAGGCCCGAGACAAAGCCGGCCACCTGGGAACACCGCTGAGGAGCAACATCGCCACCATCGGCACCGATGGCTCCATCTGCCACACTCCTGTCACCACGGGAACCGCCAGAGGCTTCCAGGCCCAGTCCTTCATCGCCACGTTGAAGTACCTGGACGTGAAGCACAAAGAGCATCCAAACCGGTCAGCGGGTCTCACACACCTGGACGCCAGCTTTTTTAAACTGATCAAACATCCTGATGGAAGCTTTTGTCGTTGATACGTTTTGTGCTCTGGTTTAGGATCCACATCTCGGTGCAGATCCCCCACCAGGACGGGATGCTGCCCCTGGTGTCCACCATGCCGCTGCACAACCTCCACTTCCTGCTGTCTGAGTCCATCTACAGGCAGCAACATGTCTGCTCCAACCTGGTCACCCTCAAAGACCTGCAGGGCCTCTCCGGTCAGTAGGCGTCATACAGACACACACCGGCAAAATCAGAATGTGTTCTGCATGTAATGAAACTAGCTGCTCCCCTCGGTGCATACAAATTTAACATTCAGTCATCAACAATAAAATAAATGTAGAAAATCTCTGTATACATAATAAAAGCACTGAATAAATAAAGCTGACTGCAGAGACATATCACTGTAATTAGCATGAATGGACAAGGGAATGTAGATTATATTAACATTCCAGAGCAGCAGCAGCAACATGAAATATGGTTTTTACACATTATTAGTAGATATTGCACTTAAAATGCATAAATGAAGACACACAGTAACCTGCAGAGTGTGTTCACCGACGTCAAGGACATCTGTAGTTATCTGCAAGCTGCTCAGCGAAAATATTCAGATTCATTTCTGCATTGAGGCCATTTTTAGAATCTTATATTCACACTGGGGGAAGATGTAAGGTATGCAATATATGAACATGCTGCAGTTCTTTAATTTTCTATTAGCTACGCTGCTTCTCATGTTTTAATCACTGAGGCTACGGAACGAGACGCTATATAGGTGATATACGAATATACGTGCAACATGTCCGGATAGTGTGGAAATAATGAACAAACTAGATGAAAACAACTGTTATTTTCTATAAACGGACACCTCAGTGTTTCATTGCTGATTAAAAATGTGTCAGATTTCAGTCGTGTGATTTTTATTAGTTTTCGCCCCAAAACTAAACAGATTGTACTTTTTTGTTGCTGAAATTTTATTACTAACTTAAAAGCATTTTGGGGCTATGGCCGTCCCCATCTTTGTGTGTGGTTACCATGGTTACAGGTGTTTATTACAGTTTGTTTCAGCTGTTCTGCTGCTGCTTCTTGAGTTAAGCTTTCATCAGATCTCCAGATATTTTCTGCAACCATAGCTCAAAGATTTTTTAGATCTATTATTGTTTATATTTGCAAGAAACACCAAACATAATTCCATGAGTGCATAAAAGGCAAAAGTTTAAGTTTCACATGACTCCTGCTGATTCAACTCTGACTCTCCCACAGAAACCGGTTTCCTGGACGACGTTTCCTATGACAGCATCTCGTTAGGACCGGGATTCGACCGCCCCTACCAGTTCAACCCCAACGTCCGCGAGGCCAAGAGCATCCAGCTCTACAAACACCTCAACCTCAAAAGCTGCATCTGGACCTTCGACGCCTTCTACGACATGACGGAGCTCATCGATGTCTGCGGCGGCTCCGTCACTGCCGATTTCCAGGTGCACAGGATGAAAAAAAATGCATCCTCTTGAAGTTTAAAGAAGCCAGAAATTAGACCCGATATTCACAACATGGTGTTCCATTTAATGGCTTTTCTTTGCTTGTTCTTCACGGGTAGAAGTCTGAGGAATCCTCATAAGCTCAAGCAGCTTCTGGTTGTTTTTTCTTTTCTCGTGTCACATTTTTATCTACTGTGGGTTCATTTTTCTCTGCAATATAAAGTCCTGCATCAGTTGGAAACAGCACAATCATGACTAGATGTAGAGAGAACTCAGAAATGTCTTCTGTGCAGCGTGATACAGTTAAAATGCCATAAATCATGAATCATTTTTTAAAAAGAGAATTGGATTTTTTTTTGCAATATTTATTTTTAACTTGCCAACATTTTTCCAAGTAAGTGCAATAAATACTTTTAAAAAAATTGTACCTACATTTTTAATTTGTTTTTATGTTTGTTTACTCTCTGCCCTGTGCATACACTGGCTGCAGTTCGGCCGAATGATTGCTGAATTTTTCACATCCGAGTGAATAACCATCTCTTGGTTGCACAAGGAAGCGATGATTTGCTTGTAATTTGCAAAGATATGACGACTGCAATGGTTTATTTTATGAATGACACATGTAGAATAATGTGATTTTGATGAAATGTCACAACTGTAAGCTTAGATTCGGTTAATTTTCTCAACAAAGGTTTTATGTTTTTTTAATCCTTGTCGGCCCAGAAGTTGATATTGACAATCTGCTGGCAATTAATTATTATAACGTACAGCTGAAAACTCTGAGTTGAATTTCAAATGTCAATTAGTTTTAATAGAATTTCAGTTTGGCATGACCGACAAGAAAAACTAACTAAAGGTGGGAGGTCATTGATAAAGACAATGGTGGAAAAAAGTATGTGTGCTCATTAATTCTGGTGCCTTCCTATGTTGAACTACTCACTACAGCCTAAAAATATTAAATTAGGGTGGTTATTTAAACCCTGTTGAGTCTACAGGAGGAGAACTAGCATTACAATCCTGCTCCTCTCATTGTTCCAGGTCCGAGACTCGGCTCAGTCCTTCCTGACGGTTCAGGTTCCTCTCTACGTCTCCTACATCTACGTGACGGCGCCGAGAGGCTGGGCTTCTCTAGAACACCACACCGAGATGGAGTTCTCCTTCTTCTACGACACGGTGCTCTGGAGAACAGGTCAGGAGTGAAACTGACGCCTCATAAACTCAACAAAATTAAACCGAGTCGCAAAAAAATTTTCCTCCTTTTTCTTTAGTGTGTTTGAAAGCTGCTTTTTGTTCTTTTTGGGTCTGCAAACTGAATTTTTATTTGCTTATCTGGGTTTTGAGGTCCAGAGGGTTATAACTGCCAAGCTAACGCTGAAGGGCATTAACAAAAAGTAGAGAGTCAACACAACAATACAGAACAGTATCATCTGCATAAAGACGAACATGACAGTCAGCTATATTATGAAAGTAAATTAATTACAGGAAAAAATTATGCATAAAAGCATACAATGAAGATTACTACCTAAGACAGACTAAATATACACTATATAAAGACTCTGTATTCCTAAACTGAGCCTATATTCTGTTCTGCTTTTTTGTTTTTGGTTCGTTTCAAAGCTGCTCTTTGTGCGTGTAAAAGATCTGCAAACTGAATATGGAATCTTGAATTTTTGTTTGCTTTTGCTTTTATTTGAACATGTTTGTCGAATGTCAGAATGAAGTCAAAAAGGACACCAAGATTTTCATGATCTCTTCATGTTGCATGATAATCTTTTTTGTTGATTATGAGACTTAAATTGTCTGCCTTTTCAAATGTTCAGTTATTTTTGATTATAAAAGGTGTTTGGCTCATGTATGCAAATATTTCACTCTTGGTGTAAGGTGTAATTTCAAATTTTACAATTTTACAAATGAATCTGAAAGCTTGATTCAGCACTTCTAACATGGTCGCATATGTGTTAGTAACCCTGGAAAAAATGGCGACTCTACATACTTTATATATTTTACTGCCTGCAGTTCAGCCAATAAATCCCAGAATTTTTGTCACGTGAGCGTTAGTTGCAGCTGAAGTGCGTCTCAGTTGTGTCAAAGGTAACAATTTTTTTTTTTTTCGAAAGAACCTGGTGCAAACAGTTTGTTTATGGTGATTTTTTAAATAAGAAATACAACAATTTTAATTTTGAAACACTGCCTGCAGTGCAGCCGAATAATTCCTGAATCTTTTTTTCACGTGACGCTTGGTAGCTGCTTAGTGTTTCATGACTTCCTGGTTGCACTGAGTTGCACTGAATTTTAAGTTTTTTGCAAAGTTTTTTGGTTATTGTAAACGGTTGGTTGTCTTTTGGTGAATATTTAATTGTAGAATATCATGATTCTGAGGAGATTTCATCATGTTTGGCTTAGATTTGGTTCATTTTCTCCACTGAACTGACCGGAAAGTTGAAAATATGTGTGTTTTATTAATTTTTTTCAGTTTTTGCTTCTAAAAAACTGTCATGTTGGTGATTTTTTAAAATAGATAACATGCCTTTCAAAGCTAGCGGTGAGTTTTGGGGTTCGGGAGGTTGATTGCTGTTGACCAGAGTTTCTCTTCGACTCTACTTTGGATGTTTTTTCTGATTTCTTTGTTTGCCGTTTGGCGTCTGCAGGTATCCAGACCGACAGTGTCCTCTCAGCCAGGCTGCAGATCATCAGGATTTACATCAGAGAAGACGGGCGGCTGGTGATCGAGTTCAAAACTCACGCCAAGTTCAGAGGTCAGCTCACGACGTCGGCTCCATTTAGATGCATATGTAGTTCCTGTAGAACTTGTCCTATATAGCTTTGGGTTAATAATAACAATAATCCAACAAATCACACCTGTGGTGACTAGATTAAAGGCAACAGAGGAGTCTTACATTTAGAACACTGGTTTAAAACAGCTAAACAGTTGAATAAAACCACGTTTCTGTCTCTGCTTCTTCCTCCAGGTCAGTTTGTTCTTGAACACCACACTCTGCCGGGTCACAAGTCCCGCCTGATGGCCCCGGACCACCTCGGAGGCATCGAGTTCGACATGCAGCTGCTGTGGAGCGCCCAGTCCTTCGACTCGCCCTACCAGCTGTGGAGGGCCACCAGCTCCTACAGCAGGTCAGAACTTTTATTTATTCCCAACCAGCGAGAACCCCGATCGAAGGTTTTCTTTAACCCCGATTTGATCCAAGTCATTTAATATTTAGTGCTTGTTGAAACCAAGTCTATGCTCTGCTGTGTGAGACCCAAAAAATGTAGCAAAGTCTAAAGTAGGCACATCTAGTACATGTCTGGAAACGCTCGCATTGTGGATTTTAGAAGTTGGGCTGCTTTTGTTTTTCAATTTCAAATGTTTCCACGTTTCTGAGATTTTAGCCGCATCACGCAACGAATTATAGTCTCCTTCGACACTCCATTAATGCTGATTTAAGCTGGTCAAGAAGAAGAATAAGTAGAATATGATAAAGACGAAGGAGACGAAGGCAGCAAAGAAGGAAGATGACACTGAAGATGAAAAGAAGATGAAGACAATGAAAAAGACGATAAGGATGAAGTAGAGTATGACAAGGACAGAGAAGACGAAAAAGAAGAAGACGAGGACAAAGTTGAAGTAGAGTATGACGAAGACGGAGCAGAAGACAACAAAGAAAAAGAAGACAAAGAAGTAGATCTATGTTCTCCTTTGAAGACGCCTGTGTAACAGCGTAAACAAAGAACCAGGTGCTTAATAAATGTCAGTCAGTTAAATATCGTTGGAACATCCCTTCCACCATCCATAAGTTTATTTCTGATTATTACAGTTTCAGTTTTTGCGGTTCCATTAAAGATGAACTAAACATGTAGCATCGGTCTCTACGTTGGCAGTAAAGTGTTGGTTCAGTTGTGATGTTTACAGAATCAAAGCTGCTTTCATCAAGTTTGTCTTTACCCCATTTTGTGTGACAGATGAAGTGTTTCTGGTCCCAGAATGATTCTCAAATCTCCCCTAAAGAGTTTTAATCACATCTAAAGGGAAGCGACGAACTCCAGAACGTCTCCACACGTCTGTCCTTGAACTTTCCTGACGTGTTTCACTCCTGAAGCATCCAGTTATGAGAGATTTTAATCTGCTTTTTTTTTTTTAGATTTCACACCCTCGTCTCTCGATGTATTTCGGTCCTAATGTCTTTGTGTCACCTGTGCATGTCTTGATCAACAGGAAGGACTACTCTGGAGAGTACACCGTCTTCCTGATCCCCTGCACCGTCCAGCCGACTCAGCCGTGGATCGACCCGGGAGACAAGCCTCTGTCCTGCACGGCTCACGCTCCAGAGAAGTACGAGCTCTGTTGTTTTAAGTCCGGCGGTCGGCCTCAGCTGTGTGTGTTTTATCTGAGGAGGCTGAAGCGTCTTGTTTGGGTCCGACAGGTTCCTGGTGCCGATCGCCTTCCAGCAGACCAACCGGCCCGTCCCGGTGGTTTACTCCCTCAACACCGAGTTCCAGCTGTGCAACAACGAGAAGGTGTTCATGATGGACCCGGCCTCGGCTGACGTCTCCATGGCCGAGATGGACTACAAGGGAGCCTTCTCCATGGGTGGGTGCTGCAGGTGGACATCACAGCGATGCAGCAGCAAATTAAGTGCAGTTATGCATTAAAAACTATCTTACTTGATAAAACCATTGGGAATACAAACAGATTTAATCACTTAAGGGCAGATTTTTGCCAAATAATGTGCTAAATTTAACATAAAATGCTGTGTGGATCCCAGAAACAGTCACACCGCCTCCATCTGCACAACATTAACTTTTTAAATCGGATTATTATCGATTATTATCTTTGCACATTCCAGATTTTTTACATCACAAATTCTCAGGTGAATAATTTGCCCGTTCCTGCACACTGTAAATGTTTCTGCTGCTATCATGACTCCACGGATTCGCACCGCTTGCTTCCTTTTTTAAAAATCTTTGGGGCTTTTCTTCACATTTTTGTGCAGAGTTTGGTCCAGAGTTAAAACTGCACAGAGTTCAGAATCCTCAGTTTGTTTTTAATTAATCAGCAGACATCACAAATTAACTTTGCTGTTTTTTTGCTTCTTTTACTTCTTACTGGTATCGTAAGTGATCGGTTGTGCCTCTTTTTGTTCAGTATACGCTAAAAAAAAAAAAAAAAGGGAATTTTCCGACAACCAAGGTGCCAAAAACATACAGAAAATAAAAATCTCATTAAAATATGGTAATTTTCCATAATTAAAAGGCTTTTGTAGCATTAATATTTACTCAGGATCTTGTTTTTTTATATATATTTATTTAGCATAAGAAACAAAATACAGCACTCAGGTCTCAGCCTGGTAAAACAGTATTAACAATCAAATAAATAAGATAAATAATAGCCTATTGACTGAGAAAACCAATAAAAACTTATTACAAAAAGTAAGCAATTAAAATAAAAATAAATTGTTTAAATATTTGACTTTGGGAAGTTCCAAAAAGTTGTTGAAGCTGTGTTGTTGTTATCACAGTGTTACAACCCAGCTCGAGGAAAGGGAAAAGGGAAAGCAACAGAACCAGATGTAATTGGTTTTAAAAGTAACATTTACTCACAGGAGTTTGGTGATACAAACAACTGAGGAAACAGGTCATAGCGGTGCTCTTTAACTTGTAAACACCCAAACAAAAGCTCTTATAACTAAAAACCTGCTACCAAACAAAACAAAGGAAAAACCAAGTTCAAAATCAAAGTATACCAAATCAGCACCTACTTTACTGGAAATAATAAACAATCCCTACTGAGCCCTGTTCCAGAGCAGTTTTAGGAAAAGAAGTTCCTCTACATACCAAAAAAGTTCTCCTGTGAAATCAGACACTGGTGCGCTGCATACAGCCACCCCGTCAATTCAGACTCCTCCACTTAAATAGGCCGCTGTCATCAGTTGGTGGGTCTTGATTGGAAGTCCCACGTGATTGGCCTGGCTCCGCCCATGTGCCCTGGCCCAATCCACAACCGGCAACGGCACACTGAAATTTCCATGAAAAAAAAAACACAACAAAGAAGGACGGGCCGGCAGCCGTAACAACAATAGCAATAAAAATGGATGTGTTTTGCTATTAATGTGCAAAATTGAATGTAAATTGTGCAGAATGTGCGTCGCTGCTTAGAGACATGGAATATTTCTTCGACATGTTTCACACAGAAAGACAGGTGTGTTAAAACAGGTGAATTAGAATTTTTAATAAAATCAGGAAAATATTCAAATTTAAGTTAAAAGCTCAGAAAGAAAAAAAGATTTGAGGATGAAGTATAAAAAAATTAAAATGGAGACGAATTTAATCCAGATTTTATAGAACACGTAAACATGGAGCATTAATTAAAAGCAAATAAAGATAGTTTTAAAAATGACTACAGTTGGTGCACATTGGAGCCGATTTAAGCAGCGAACAGTTTAAAAGACGTTTCACCAAACTGAAGAACACGTCTGTGTCTAAAACCTGCAGCGACGTGTTCTCTCTCTGTTTGGTGTTTGAGGGTAAATGAGAATATGTAAGTGTTCCTGGGCAGAGAAATGAAAATTAACATCTTAAAAAATCATTGAAGAGACGTGACGTTTTGTTTTTCATTCTCCAAACGTTTCCAGTGTCACAGTCATGGGCGTTCTTTAGACAAAATACATCCTAGACACGAATCGCTTATTGAAAGAAAAATATATGTTTAAAAAGAATCACCTTGATAAGAATGTTTGTGCCTAATGAAACCTTTTATTTTCTCACATTTTGATCCCTGTGGTGTTTCCCCAAAGCCTGCACTGAACCTCTAAGATAGCTTTGCTTGACGTATGCGTGCCTCTGCTGCCCCCTGCAGGCCAGACGCTGTACGGCCGGGTGCTGTGGAACCCCGAGCAGAACCTGAACGCCGCCTACAAGCTGCAGCTGGAGAAGGTTTACCTTTGCACCGGCAGGGACGGATACGTTCCCTTCTTCGACCCCACGGGGACGCTGTACAACGAGGGCCCTCAGTACGGCTGCATCCAGCCCAACAAGCACCTGAAACACCGCTTCCTGCTGCTGGTACAGAGAAACTTCTTTTTTATTTTTCTTAATTTAGCTTTCCATGAGTTGTGCTGCATATTTGAGCGGATATGTTCAAAGTGCATCACATAGTCCATTAAATGAGGGTTCAAATGACACAAAGACAACAAACGAAGGTGTGGAAAAGGTGAGAATACAGTGAAAGCATCAGTTTTATCAGTTAAAATGACCGTTTTTACTCATGTTTGTCTTTTTCACGCGTTAACTTGCCAGCAGCAGTCTGTGCAGACGTTTAACACTGAAACTCTTGAGTAAAAACAGCATTTTAGAAACAACAGCCTCTATTAAATACATAAAAGTGTGACTTTCACAACTTGTTTGCTGTCGGAGCGTCTAAATCAAGAGCTTGAAACTTCAAATAATTACATATTGTTGCATTTATATTGATTTCAATGAGATCCAGCAGTCAGTAGCTTTACAGCAGGATGATACCTTCTATGTTTAATAGTGTTTTTAAAGGTTTTTCTGCTGTTTGAGTGCAGATTTAGCTTCCTAACTGTTAAAGTTCCTCTCTGGTCATTGGTTCACCCTTGAAAACATATTTCTGTGTATCAAAGTTACATATTTAGAGCTTTTTTTCCCCATAAAAATAATCTCCTTCTGCCTGACAATGACTCGGACTCAGAATATGCAGTCCCTGTTTCTCTCTCCAGCCAGTCCGTATCCATCACTGCAGCTCAAGCGCACCGGCTCGCCTGCAAATCTGCTCCAACTCTGTAAAACTACTCAATGAAAAGTTGTGATATTAGCAGTAATTCAGACACACATGTTGGAACCAGGAACTGACGGAAAGTTAGTTTATTTACTTATTTAGTTCATGATGCATCTTCTAGCACATAAAAAACAACATCTGGACATGTGGCATGGAGGAAACTGCTGAAACTTTACTTGAAAACACCGCATGCATCAAACTTTATTTAATTTTTCAGCAAGTCTAACGCTCAAACATTTCAGGTTTACTTCAAATGTGAAACCATTTAGAATGATGTGCACACCTCAAAGTGGACTAAAAAGTCATATAATTTACATCAACTATGCATCCGTGATGTTTGTACCTGTCCATGTGCACATCTGCATGGGAGAATCAAACCAAATACCATCAACTATCGACCTGCTCCACCCTCTAACCTCTCAGCAGGAGGCACCAGACTACAGATGATTTAACTCATCACTAACTACAGAATATCTACAAGTCTGAGCTGTAAAACAAAACCTCTTTACTGTAATCATTAAATTAGCCTCAAACATCAAACATCTGGAGTCCAGCTCGGCTCTCATCTTTGTTTTTTTCCGCCTCCGTGTTTCCTCTCTGCAGGATCGTAAGCAGCCGGACGTTTGCGACAGATTCTTCCACGACGTTCCCTTCGAGGCTCACTTTGCCTCCGACCTCCCGGAGCTGCAGACAATGACGTCCATGCCGGGAGTCGACGGCTTCACCATGAAGGTCGACGCTCTGTACAAGGTGAGGAGAACGACATGTTAGATGGTGGAGGGTTTTCTAAAGTACAACGTGTTTGCACCACTTAATAAAATGCAATAAAACCTCATTTATGAATTCAGATAAAGCTTTGAAGTTGCAAACATTGTTTTGATGGGTTTGGGTGACATATGCATGCTGGTAATCACACAAACTTAATATTTGTAAGACTTTTTTTCCCCATGATTTAAATATCAGTTCAGTTCATTATTTAAAATTAAAAAATAAAAATAAAAAATAGGTAGTTTCAAACAATTTACTTGTAAAATGAATGAATTTCTGAATAACCAGGACAAAACCAAAACGAAAAAGATAATTCTTTTTTTTCCTTTTTTTTCAGTATCTGTCAACTTAAAAAAAAAAAAAAAAAAAAAAACTTGTGTTCATAATTATGGTAGCTGATTGTAGAACATGTAAAAAAATTATTTTAAGTACTTTAATTCAGTAATTTTTTGAGTTATCAGTTGCATTAGCATTGTTTAAATTCATATTAAATTCATTAAATATTGTGTTTAAATACACAACTGCAGTTATAATGTTTGTTTTTTTTTTAAAGTTGAACTGACAACAATTTTTCTTCTTTTTTTTTCTTCTCGCCACAAAAAACATATTTTGTAGAACCGTTTTTGTTTTAAATTATTAAAGTTTCTAAACAAGCAGTTTAGGTGCAGGCGGTGCAGGATTGTGCAGCATTTGTTGGCTTTCTGTTGAAGAGCATCCGTCAAAAAAAAAAAGAACTGGACATTTTGTGGCATTTTTTATCCAAACTTCTCACCAACGTCGAGTGAAATCAGTCAATTCAATGACTCCTCCAGCAGCTGCCTAGTCGCTGACACCTCCTTCTGTCTTTGTGCTGGCCGACAGGTGGAGGCGGGGCACCAGTGGTACCTGCAGGTGATCTACGTGATCAGTCCGGAGTCCCGGTCCAGTCCCAGGATCCAGCGCTCGGCCACCTACCAGCTGAGTCGCCCCCGACGAGACCTGGTGGATCGCAGCGGGCGCCTGACGCTCGACGAGTCGCTCATCTACGACAACGAGGGCGACCAAGTGAAGAACGGCACCAACATGAAGTCTCTGCGCCTGGAGGCCGGGCCGTCCGCCACCTTCAACGCCCACGTGGGCAGCTCGGTGGGCGGGGGCGTGGCCGCCGTCACCCTGCTGGTGCTGGTGCTGCTCGCCGCCTGCTTCGTGTTCCGCCGCTGCCGCAGGAGTTCGGCTAAGAAGAAGGGCAAGAAGGCTGCCAAGGCCTACGAGGAGTACCCGCTCAACACCAAGGTGGAGGTGTGCATGGACAAGTGCGTGGAGAAGAACTTCAGCACCAAGCACTGCACGGTGAGGAACGTCAACCTCCTGAACCGCAACCAGGAGCCCAACGGCAAGGCCAAGGTGAAGCAGGTCAACCTGGAGGTGAAACTCCACAACAACCTCAGCGACGGCACCGAGGTCTGAAACCAGGAGGAAGAGGAGAGGGAGTCAGAATTTAACAAAAAAGGTATTTTCTAAAAACGAAAAAAAAGAGAGAGAGAGGTTTGTACTAAATGGAAACGAGATGTTTGTTAATGTATTTTTATACCACTTTGAAAAAGGGAAGAGTGCGACGTGCAGGGCTACCTCAGGAATCCACACAAACCACCACTCTGATCATCACTGTCGTACTTGACTTTCAGCACCAAAAACACTGGTGAACGGTAGCTCAGACACTGGCGATTGTTTCGACGAAAAAAACAAACACTTCTCTGCTGCATCTAGTCATTTCACTGCTGCGAGTTCAGATCCTGCATTAAAACTTTCCTTTAGAGCGACTTGTACGCCAGCTACTGAGTATTAAAGCACCAACGGAGTGTAAATGAAACCTTTTCAAGTGCAATTACGCCACAAGTTTTTTGTTATTCCTTCCATGAGCAGGAACATTGTTTGCATTTAAAAAAACAAACATGTATTTCAAGCCTTACTTCAAGACATTTGTACTGATGATTTTTCTGGCAAATTCTTAGTTTTGTTCGTACTCCGACAGCTGCCAATAATAAGTGCCATGCAGTATTTTTTTATCATTATCAGAACAAAGTCATCCAAAGTGTTTTTCTTTTCGTTTTGTCCGTGTGATTTTAATGCGATTGTAATTTTAAAAAGCGAGACAGCCGATGTTTCGATCCCGTCCACACGAGCGACTGCTTTCGCCTTACTACTGTCCTGATGGGAATAATCACTTTATTATTAACGATGTATTTTATAGGAAACGTGTGTCTACCTGCCTTCGTTCTGCCAAAAGACACAGAATCCCTCACTTTGTTTTTATTTCCTCTTCTCACATCTCACTCAAATGTTTTTTTTTATTCATTTATGTATCATTATGTTACCCTCTTATGATGTATTATGACTCAGCTACTGATGTACCCACGATGTTACTGTAATTTTTCTTTTTTTTTTAAAATAAGGTGAAAGACACTGGATAGAGAGCACTGCAAAAAAAAAAAAAAAAAGATATGTTCACGTGAGCTGTTGACACGTCTTTTCTCTAATGTCCACCTCCTGTCGTCTTTCAACTGTGTGCCTATCAAACTACCACGGGAAACGGGGAATTGTGGGAAATGACGTTATATTTTTGGTGCTATCATTTTGTTGGACGAGAAAACAACAATGCTATCGATATGATGCCTGTATTTGGTGCCTTTTTTTAGTAATAAAAAATAAATTTGAAACACAACATGTCTCGTGTGTAAAGTTTGTTTTTGCCTTGTTTTTATTGTGGCCAGAGGCATGTGTGGTTTTTTTTGTTTTGTTGGTGAACGGAACATCTCTTAAATACCTCGAGGGAAGTCCTTTAAATTTGACACAAATGTTCGCTTGGACCTGAAAATGAACTGATTAGATTTTGGTGCTCCAAAGTTTGTGTTTTGTCCTTATGAAGAATATTTTTGGCCAGAAATTCACTAATGACATTTTATATCCTCAAGGTCCGAAGGTTTGTTTCACTGCAACATCAAAATGTTCAGCAAAAATATTCTGCGCTGTAATCCACGTAGCTAAATGTATGGTTTGCAGTAGATTTAGATTAAACTTTGAAGTTACATGCGATACTTTGATGAGTTGTGTTGACATAACAATGCAGGTCATTGTCTTAGCTTCATATTATGTGTAATTCTAATGCAGATTTATACATTTGTTGATTTAAAACTACATCAAAGTTGGCAAGGTAATGTGATAAAATAAGCCACTGAATATCTCTTAGAGTCCAGTTAAATCAATCATTAAGAAATGGAAAGAATATGACATAAATCTACTGCGAGCAAGTCGTCCTCCACGACTAGAGTTCATCCGAAGACATGTAGGAGACTTTGAAGTCAACTGAAAGAAGGTTCTTTGGTCTGATGAGATCAAAATTGAGCTTTTTGTCCATCAGCTGCGTTTGGCAGACACCAGTGACTACACATCATCACAAATGCACCGTCCCACCTGTGAAGCA